ATTACATTCTTCTTCATGATGCATAACAACTCCATTGTGAATATGTATCATATTTTATTAATTAATTCATCCATGTTGTGCATGGTTGATTTTCTACTTTAAAGAATGACTGTGGAGGCTTAAGAGATTATAACATAGTTTAGATACTTCAGAAATCTTGACTGAAATGTAAATAGAGCCTGATGAGGAGCAAACAAAGCTACAGGAGAGGCTCTGACTGACTTCTTAAAGTTAGGGTACTTGGTCCAGAGTTGAGTTGGCAAGTGGAGTCCAGCTGCAGAGGAAAGAAAGCAGGACCAGAAGCAGATGAATGAGTTGGGGAATGGATGGGCAGCAGGTCCAGATGAGCCCACAAGATGGGCAATGGCAGGAGCAGAATAGGTCAACAGCAGAGATCAAGTGTAGCTGGAGCCTCTAGGATATTCAGGGATCCCCTGGCTGTCAGCACCCTGACCCACACAGTGGGCACTCAGATGGAGATGAACCACAGAAATTTTGGTTGTCCACCTTTTTATGGGGTCTAGGTGAGGACATTATGCCTGTTCTTTAATCTGAGTTGTCTGATAAATTCTAGGACCTGGTTTTCTTGTTATGGCTTTCCCACATATATGTGGACCTCTAGTTTTAATTCACCTTGCTAACTTGAGAAAACGACACTTTCATGTCCCTAGGAATAATTTAGTGGTCACTGTCTCACTAGTTCTCACTGTACTGACCAGGGCTATTGTCTCCCCAGGACACACAGGAGTAACTAGGATCACTGTCTCCCCAGGACACACAGTAGTGACCAGGGTCGCTGTCTCCCAAGGGCACACAGGAGTGACTGGGTGACTGTCTCCCCAGGGCATACAGTAGTGACCAGGGCCACTGTCTCCCCATGACAGACAGTAGTGACCAGGGTCACTGTCTCCTTAGTGCTAACAGTAGTGGCCTTGGTCACTGTCTCCTCAGGACACACAGGAGTATCCAGGGTCACTGTCTCCCCAGGACACACAGTAGTGACCAGGGTCGCTGTCTCCCAAGGGCATACAGTAGTGACCAGGGTCACTGTCTCCTCAGGACACACAGGAGTATCCAGGGTCACTGTCTCCCCAGGAGACACAGTAGTGACCAGGGTCGCTGTCTCCCAAGGGCACACAGGAGTGACTGGGTGACTGTCTCCCCAGGGCATACAGTAGTGACCAGGGTCACTGTCTCCTTAGTGCTAACAGTAGTGGCCTTGGTCACTGTCTCCTCAGGACACACAGGAGTATCCAGGGTCTCTGTCTTCCAAGGGCACACAGTAGTGACCAGGGTCACTATCTTCCTAGTGCTTGCAGAGTGACCAGAGTCTCTGTAGGACTTATATGGGCTTTGAAAATCTGCCTTCACCTTCTGCCAAAAGCAGCCATGAGAACAGACAGGGCCCCAAACTTTTCTTTGGCAGTCTTTTGCTTGGCATCTCTGTTTACACTTCCAGTTTAATTTTAGAAATCTTTAGAAATGGTGATTACATTCTTTAAGCTTGGCTTGACAGAAGGACAGATGGACTGGTTTATTAATACCACATTATTTATTGCTGCAATAAACTCACTTAAATTGGAGCTTGAACCAGTTTGTGGATCAATCCAAAAAACATATATATTGCTTCATGCTACACTATCTGCTTCAAATGAAACTATAATTTGGAAATGTACTAAAAGCTAGTTAGGGGAATGGGAAATTTTGTGTATTACAACAGGAAAGAAAGAAATGATCTATGTGTTTACTCTCTCATCTTGCTTGAATCATTGCAGTAGATCGAGTTCACTGGTAAAAATGGCAAAACTTTAACTACAAAGAAAATTCTGATTGTGCATATTCTAAGATAAGATCACTAGAATGCAGATGAGTTATCCTATTACATGATATACAGTATGCCCTAACTTATAATGTCCTTTGTAAGAAATAAAATATGTTTTTACAAGACGTGGAACTTATAAAATAATCTAAAACTGTACTGTTCTGTTTGGGCAAGGATGGAATATCTAAGTGAATTACGATGTTTGGCTTTATGTTATCTATGCATTGCTTCATTATTAATGCCCCAGTATAGCTGGTATGTTTAGTCTAACTAGATTCAGTGGCTTGTTGCAGGCAACTCTTATTTGAGATTATATTTTCAGTCCTAGTAATAATGCATCAAACCACTGGGACTTGTTCCTGAAAGTACTTTGCAAGAGACAGATGAATATTACAGCTGAATATAGTTGCATCTGTTCCCATGTCTATGACAGATACATCTAGAAGTTTTTTCATAAGAATGATCCTATTTTTACAGACACCAGAGAAATCTAGTCCACACTAGAGTGCCATTAAATTCTCTACTAGCCTTGGATGACTTGGGTGGAAGGACAAAATTGCTATGAAGTGTCAAATATACTTTAGCCTAAGCAAGAAATTTCCAAACCTTTTATTCTTATTGGGTGGAAAGGGGGAGCATTTTTGAAAGCTTCACATAATTGTTACTGGGTCACCGTGGTCTCTATGGACACATAGAAGTGAAAAAAATATTATCTATCTATTTACCTATAATCTACTTATTTATCTATTAATCTATTTATCATCTATCTAGTACAATGACTCATTATGGTAGAGTTGTTTTCTCATATTTCTGTGGGTAAGGTATTCAACAAGGAGAAACGTTTTTATGTCCTTAAAGGATAAGACCAAAGTTAGCATGAATTAAAAGTAGGTGTAGCAACCCCATCACCATGAGTCATGAAAACCAAAGAGATCTGGAGTACAGAGCTGGGCAGATAGTCCCTCAGGGACTCTTGGAACTGTTTGGAAAAGCTACTTCTTGCTAAGAGCTTTGGTACTTTGTGGAGAATGACTTTTACTAGAAGCTGCTCAGGACCAATGAACAGAGTCAGCAAGACTCAAGATCTAAATTCTGCTTCTTTTTTTTACATATCAATACACCTAACAAACACAGTAGCAGAAGTTCTTTTTTCTTTGGATAGTCAATTTGGTATTCAGAAACCAGGTACATTCATCTTCCCCTTCTCATGGAAGTCACTGTTGGTTCAAACACTAGATCTAGTTGTAACTAGGTGGTATTATTTTATTACTCCCAGCTTTGCTTCTCCTCTCCATGAATCCTACTTTCTTCCATAATGACTTTTCTCAATAGCCATCTCTTGGAATGGATGGACACTTTATGACCTTTTGAAGTACAATTGTAAATTATTTTGCTTCAATGCCTAATGACAATCTTAGGGCCTAGGAAGATGTTGGGGTACTGGGCAAGGACCAACTGATCTTTCTGTATGATAAATCTGAAAAGAGCCAAAGTTAGGAAGAACAGTCTCATGTACTGATGATTACAGAATAGGGGCAGCAAATCTGATTTACTGCTTTGAGATGAGAATGCTGAGAGCAGAAGAAATAGGCTTCCTTGGGGATTAGCTTCCCAACTGGTTTTTCAACATCAAGTAATCAGCTCTAAAACATATACGTACAGTAGCATTAAATGGATCAAACAGGCTGTGTTTGTATGCTTATGAACACACACACACACATACACACAATTAAAAAAAGAAACCATGATTTCTAGAGAGGACAGGGTAGTCCTGGAAGAAATTGTAAGGAAGAAAGAGAAAGGGGAAATGATGTAATGCTCATTTACAAAATTAAAATACCATGTATGTGTAATAAACAAAGTGGAATGGTAAAAATAGTAGTAGTAGAAATCCAAAATAATGATCTGAGAGAGATGAATCACAAAACAAGTGGATCTCAAAGCTGGTTTATGGTATAAATTCTAAGACTTCAAAACAGAAACATGAACGAGCAATTATTGAAATATTTTATTTTCTATATTTAACAATTTTAACATGGCTTTTGTGTCTATTAACGTATTATATATGACTGCATGGACCTGTGAATTAAGGCTGTTTGTTAGTTTATTTGTTTGGGCTTGTTTCTTTTGATTTTTGGTTTTGGCTTTGTAAGGGTGTTTTTGTTTGTTTGTTTGTTTTTATGTCTTGAGAAAAGAGCTATCTAATTCAGGCTGACCTGAACTAAGTATGTAACCTAGGCTATCCTTTAACTTATAATCCAAGGGTTATTGCCTCATTAGTTTTTGGATTACAAACTAGCATGACCATACCTAGCAGTAGAAACTGAGGTTTCAGTTTTATTTAAGTTTAGCTGATTTAAATGAAACTATAAGTTCATGTGCCTATTAGTTACTACACCAAACAAAGAAGATCTATTACTTGCCTCTTCATGAAGCTAAAATTTTTCATGGAAGAAAAATGTAGAGTCATATTATGTGATATACATGTTTTAATTTAAAATAGTATTTATGAATCATAAGAATTCAAGGAAAAAATATCTGGAAAAATAAATGGATTCCAAAATTACATTGGATACCATACTTTATCTTTCAATAGCCTTTGCTTTGGTGCAGAATTTTCAATTAAAAGATCATAGCAATGAATATATAAATATGACTATGACAACACTAAAACCCTTTCAACTGGAAGTTTTATTTACCATGAACATATTTTTAGAAATGTTTTTATTAAGATATAATTTACATATGATAGAGCTTAATTATTGAATATATAATTCAAAATGTGTAGAATATTTACAGACTTAAGTGACCATCATCATAACCTAATTTTAGAACAGTTTCAAAATCTACAAAATAAATCTTATACCTATTCACAGCAGACTTCTGTTCTCTTGCAGTCTGCCTTCTTGAAGACATGTCTGTTTGGACAATTCTCAGTGTTTCATCGTTTCTCTGGACCTCTTTACAGTTGGTCCTAATTTCAGATGCTTCTTGGGCTTTGGAGACAGGAAGATTAAATGTTCTGTGGTTAGTCAGGGGAAGTTTCTGGTCTTCTCTATTTGTAGCTTATTCTTTTTTAGGGAAATCAGAGTTCTGATTTTGTCACAGTGTCTCTCAGTGGATATCTTCTCTTAGTTTTACCTGCTTTATTCTTCTTTCCTTTGTCTATTTTCTACAGGGCTTTCAGAGACATGCACATGAAGGGGAGTTAGAGGAAAAATGTCTACTCTACAAGATAGTCACCATTTATAACTCTTCCTGTCTAAAGAGGAATATCTGGTCCATTCTTCCTCTACTAGGTTTCCCGTCAAGAAGCCATACATGATGGTCAGTGCTAAGAGTAAACTTCAAAGTCTCAAGATTCACAAAGGAAAAAACCTGGGCACACTTGTGAGGGAGTTTTCAAATGATTTCTATTTTGTTAGGATGATCCACCCTAAGTGTGACCATCACCATTCTGTGACCTGGGATCCTGCACTAAATAAAAGCAAAATATTGGAGAAAGTAGCAGCATTGACTCGTGCTTTCTGTCAGTGAATGTAATTCAATAGTATTTCTTACATGCCTGCCCCTGTACCCTCCCAAGCATGATAAACTATACCCTTAAACTGTGAACCAAAATAAACCATCATTCTTTCCGTTGCCTTTAAAGGTATTTTGTCAAAGCAATGAGAAAAATAAATAACAAGTCATATAAGGCCACCATGCATATGAATTCCCAGCATTTCAGCCTTCCTGCTTTGTTACACATATGCAGATACTTTGGAATACCAGATACAGAAGTGAGAATCTGACTAGCCACCTATCAATGGCTTTGATCGTCTCTTACAATCTGGGAGACCATTTATCCTCACGTCCACCTTCTCCATCCCTGTATCTTAGACACCATGGAATTCTGAAATTTCTTGTCTCTGAAATAGTAATGCTCAATCCTATAGAACTATCAAATCCTATGTTTCTTATATACACTGATTCAACTTCTATTTTAATTAAAGTAGTGTTAGACACAGCCAAATGCTTATGTAGAAAGTCTCTCTAGATAAGTATCAATTCCCTGTCAAGAAGACAATCAGTTGGAAAATTAAGTATTCAGATAAATGCTAAGTAAAGTGTTTGTCCCATCAAAGAGTGTTGTATGAACTAAAATGACAGAATGGCTAATAGTTGTAAATATTACTGGTGATGTCTACTGAGTCATTTGTGTAACCAAGAGTTCATACTGTGGTAAACACTGCACATCAGTTGAGGACAAAGCACTGCTCATTTATGCTATGACATGATGGAAAAGAGGTGACGAGTTTTGGATTTCTTGTTAATCTTTTCAATTTAGTATTTTAGAAAGGCATCGTAAAGATCTCCTGCAGAGCAAATTTTATGGCAGCGAAAAACTTTCCACTTCTGGTGTGTATGAATGTAGATGTATTTATTTCCAAGGTAGAGTTTCTTTAGACATTTGGAACATTAAGTGGTTAATTTTCTCCCATAATTCTACATGGGGATTTTGTTTGTTTGATTGATTGTTTCTATTTTGCTTTGCTTTTGCCTTTGAGCTTGGTGTGAAGATGTGTGTGGTCAGCATGCAAATATGAATGTTGAGGAGAACATCAGTTCAAACATCAGAACTGTTCCAGACTGGGTCTCTGGAAGTAGGAGTGAGCAGTCTGACTTCAGCAGAGGTATGTTCATTTCTGTTTTGCAAACACTTGAAACTTCCCACATCCATGCTCTTTTATGATCTTGTTCTTGATTTTCCCCATTCCTTCTCCGTCAAACTGTAAAAGGAATGCCAATTCATTACAGAATCCACAAGTATTCTTTGAAAGACATATTCTTAACATGAAGCTCAAACCAAGTCAAGTTCTTTGAGCCATTTATTATTCCTTCATTTTAAAATTGTCTATTGCAGGACCAGGAACAAGTAGGAGTAATAATCTGGAGCTCCACATGAAGGGAAACCGACATAGTGTTCATAGACCTTAAGGTCATATACTGCTAACCTAAGAATGAGAGAGTTCTAGCAAGCATCAGGGTGTCTGGGTCGCCAGACAGTGCACTGCTTATGGTTCTGTTACATACAGTCTTTAACTTTAGATTTTGATAATTTGGGAGTGATGTGTGTTTTCATGTTTTGAGTTATTAATAACCCAGTGGCCCTACATGAAATGAAGTACCAATTACTATTATGCCCAGCTCAGGGGAAACACTCATACCCTATAGTTTCTGAAGACAAAACAAAACTTTATCACTTTGGTAGTAAGATCCTGAGGTAAGTGTAGGAACTTCCCGAGGAACAATCACAGCAAGGTATGGTATGAAGTAAGCAAAAAGGTGCTAACTCAGAGGGAGCCCAGTAGAAGACACTATAGGTCAGTGTTCGAAGAGGAAAAAAAGTATAATGCAATAGGTGACCCTTCACTTGGAAACTGAATGAAAAGTAGGTATCTGATAGTCCAGGTATCAAAGAGAAGGAAGACAATTGCTGAAGTATCTCTAGTATCTCTGTGGAGAAACACACACACACACACACACACACACACACACACACACACACACACACCAGGCCTTTCTATTTTCCTACTCTTTGGCTCTTTTAGACCTTGAAATATAGACCTTGAAATGAAAGAGCCTCTTTGTTTTTGATTTTCTTTTATGCTTTTGAGTGAAATGATGTACGTGTGCTGCCAAATGGAGTTTGTGCTCCAAATTTCCTAATCCATTAATCTTCATGTGTTTTCCACATTTTCCATCTGAGTGACTACAGTAGACCCACTGACCCCTCAAAAGGTTGGTAAGCCAGAGAGCAGACAGTAGCAGACTCGGTTAATACTGAACATTTTTAGGAAGATACGATCACTTAGGATAATTACTCATGGAATTGGTGGGGGGTTATGCAATGAGTTCTCATCACTTAGTTTATCATCAAAACCACTTTAATCTCTGGGTAATGGGTAGAAATGACTTTTTAAAGTTAAATCTTGTGTGCTGGTGGTGCACACCTCTGACACCAGGGTCTGCCTGAGTGCTGATTCATTGCAATTGTGGATTCATGCCTGAAACCCAATTTCTATTGTGCTATGCCCTTCAAGATGAGTTCTTGCCAGGATTCTGATAGCTCTGGCAACAACCTGCCTCATTGAATTTTGCTGTATTTGGTCTTCCTTTTCGGTATGGTTAAAGTTTCCTATTCTTTGTAGCACCCATCTGTTTCTGCTTCAGGGGAAGTGCTTACTTAGTTACATTAAATTAGTCTGATTTTCCAAGTGGGTTTCCCCCTGCATTTTCCCTTATTGCAGGAGGTCTTGTAGGCGGATACCAGCTCTTGAGCAGATCCCAGTAAAAGCTCTCTCACTAATTGTCTGACTGCAGCTGCCCTTTAGAGGGGCTAAGTAATGGTCAGGCACAGCTTTCTGTGCATTAACTCTCTTTGCAAATGCTGAGGAGACTAAGACATAGAGGCACAGAGAGAACAAAGACTGCTAGAACTCACAGAGTTAGTAGATGGCATAGCTCACCTGCCCTGCCAGGCACCTGTGCAGCCTACCACTGTGTTCTAAGCCTGCCACCGAGACTTGGGAACTTCATAAAAATAGCCATCCTTATGACTCACAGATTCCACAAAGGACTCTCATTTATCTCACTGAGGATGACAAATTAGAGTTTTGTGAAGTATAAACTGCAAAAGACACACAGGAGGCCACTGGCCAAAATGTGCTTCAATTGTTCCTGCCTCTAATTTCACAGGGCTGGGTTCTGTTCAGTATACTGAAAGGCTGTGGTCCAGGATGAAGTTCTAAGCCCCTCTTTTCTCCCCTTGAGCGATCCTATCTCAACCCATGGATTTAATTGTTGCCTAGAATTTCTAGTTCAGATTTTTTCCCTGTGTTCATTCCTATTCTCAGGGTCACCATCTGTTTTCTTAGCATACATGGTGGGTAAATATTTTAAGGTTTTCAGACTGTTTTTCTCCATTGCATGAGAGCTTTAGGGCAGCATTGGGGTTCGCACATTCTTGGCTCTCTATATAGCACATGGGACCATATATTTCAAGTGTCTCTCTTAAATCATTTGTTGAATTAACTGATGAGAGCACACACTTTGTCCTGAGAGGATGATAGCACATATACGTTGTTCTGAGAGGACGAGGTGGAACATTTTGCTTTTAGAAAACTCTTTCAGATTGGTTTCCTAATGTAGGACACACCTTAGTATAACTGGAGAAAAATTTCTCACAATCTTGATCTTTCCAACAGAAAATGTAAAAATACAAGCCATCACTATGGATGGTATTAGCTTTTGATGTTTCTTGTCAACTGACACAGCATTTGGAGTCAGGTACAGTTGAGTTCATATAGTAATATCATTCTTTGGTTAAACTATGACCACAATCTTGCCAGAGGATTCAGAATGCAAAGCTAGCCACAAGCCATAGAGGTCAGGCAATGGTGATACACAACTTCAATCCCAGTAGCTGTTCTAGCAAGCCATAGAGCTAGGCAGTGGTGGCACACACCTTTAATACCAGGATTTAGGAGACAGGTAGATGAGTCTCTGTTAGTTTGAGGTTACCCTGGCCTACACAAGAGTTAAGAGTAACAGAGCTCATGCCTTTGATCCCAGCACTTGTGGTCATACACATTTAAAACCAGAATTAGTGAGGTGGAGACAGGAGTGATATGGCTGGGTGGAGAAAAGAATACAAGACAGGAGAAGACAGGAATTCTGAAATTCTGCCTCTGAGGATTGGTCAAGACAGGATTGCCATTTTCGCTTGGTAGAGTAAGATGTACTGGCTTGGCTGCTTTGCTTCTCTGATCTTTAGCTTGAAGCTTGAAACCCAATATCTATCTTTGAGCTTTTACTATTCATTTTAGAATTTACTCTCAGTTTCCTTCTCTGTAAATATATACATATTGAAAATCAATCAAAAGTTCATTACATTGTTAATAATAAATAAAACCTGTTGATAAATGATGGAGTGTTGTCTTCTGTTAGTTGTTGAGCTGTTAGTAGCCATCATATTTCTCTTGTTCCTGTTATCTATATATAAGAAAAACAAGCAATGTGTCAAGATAGTGGTACTGGCATGGAGTTCATTAAGTGCCTCTTCTAAACCTGAGTGGTCAGCATCAACTTTCATCTAATTGACTTTCCATCACTTTTTTTGAGCTGAGACAAGTTGGGATCAAAGTTACTGACTTTACAGTGATGAGGGGTCCTTGTGCAGTAGAAGGGGCCCTGGTACAGTAGGATAGGCCATGGGTCAGTGAGAGAGGCCTTGGGGTAGTGGCAGGGGGCTTGGGACAGTGGGCAGGGCCCTGCCTGAAGGAGTGGGAGGAGCCTTGGAGCAGAGGGAAGGAGTCTTTACATTGAGAGTTATCCTCTAGTTAGAACAATATGACAAATAGGACAGAAAATACCCTGGGTTTTCTTTAGATAGTTAAAGATTTTTAAATGTGCCTGCATTTTAGAAGCCAAAAGGTGTTGCAGATAAAAGTGAAACTCCTCTATCTGTGCTAAGATCTCCACAGAGTCCCTTCAGTCTTCTGCATTCCCCACCTTAGAAAACTGTGTTGTCTTGTTCCACTGAACAGACAAATATGATGTTGAATGGTGTGGTAAGGCGTGTTTTTATCCTCTGGGGCCCAAGTGGCAGCACAGTTCCCTGTATGCACTATGCACCCAGTGAGATGGGTTGGAGGAAATAAGAAAAGAACTCATCACAAGATTGGTAGTGGTAGCATTGCAGGGAATGATGAGCTGTCCTCACACCTTTATCGACAGCAGTAATGTCATTATTCAACTTTAATTATGTCAAGGAAGAAGTGTGGTCACATCTGCACCTTGATTATCAGGGCATCAAATCCAAAAGGATGCTGACAAAGTTTAGGGAGGTTTCCCAAGGAGCAAAGTGATAGCTAAATTAATACCTTGCCATTGATAACTACTTGGTCCATGATTGTTTTGAGGTGCTACTTCTAAAATTTTGCTCTTTATAAATGCTGTTTATATTTTACTGTGCAAAAAGTTACCTGGGATCTTACTAAAGGCCGAAATCTGATAGCACTGGTCTAATGAATTACCCACAATCCTACATTTTACACCAACTCCAGAGTTGTGAATCTTTCAGTTCATGGAACCCAGTCATGAACACTGAGCATTCTGCCTTTGCCCATCCATTTCAGACTCTTTATTTGTGGAATACAGGCCTGGCTGCTCTTGAATCTCTATATGCATCACAACCAAGGCTGAAGTTCATGAGAATTCTTTCAGAGAAATGTCCCTCAGAAGCCTGTAGTCAATTGACCTGCTTGCATTGATTTGGAGATGGTTGCAGAGCTAGGATAGCCTTCAGCAGCTTCTACATTTAATAAGGGCTTTTCTTCCTTCCCAAAGGATGTTATATGTTCGTAGTTTAGTCATATCTGTATAATACTTGTCATAGAGCATGTTCCTTTTTGGGAATAGCATTGTTGGGAAACCATAAGGAGCCTTACAGTTCTTGTCAGACATGACATAGTCAATCAGCCCCAAAGAGGTCAGATATATTCTCATGATGTTTTTACATGCATCAAGAATGAGAGCTACACATAGAAAGAATGAATAATAAAGAAAGTTAAGTCTGGTCTGAGTGTATGTGCATTTGTAATGCAATTTGCTTGATGATGGGGGATGTCCT